AATTATAATTTTTGAGTGCCAAGCTGGAATTATACAAAAAATTATGCTCTACCTTTTTTAATCACTTTTCTTATACTCTATCCGAATTAGGTACATAAAAATATACATATATTAATTAATTTATAGAGCAATAAATAAATAAGCATATTATTAAATTTCTATGTAATGCTATGATACATATGATAACAAAATAATATATTCCCATCAGTGTTTCTATGTCAGAATATAAGGACTCTTCACATCAATTTGAAAAACTCTAAACAACCCAGGATTTAGTTTTAGAAAAACACAGACTTCCTCCTCACAAGCTCTTTTACATTGCCCAGTTAGGAAAACTTCTATATTTCAAATGTACAGAGTTTTTGAGCTATCTTAAATACAACAGTTAGAATACTATAAAATATCTTTTTAAAATAGAAAAATTTAATGTGTGGTTTTATGAAAAGTCTGTCCCAAAGTCTTATTTCTTTTTTGCAAAATGAAAGTGAAATATTTAAAGTTTTTCCCACCAACCTTCTGATATCTGAGGTTAAACTTTGTACACTACAAATAAACCCACTTAATACAGAGCACATTTTTTCCACTATTCCTCTAGTACAGATAATTGGGTACATGAGTAGATACACATTAATATTACTGTGTACACAGCCAGAGCACAAGAGTCCATTCAGGTGTGACTGTGTATGTCACTAAGGAGAAGAGGGGAACAAGAAGCAGGTGGCATTATAGCAACAGCATCATTAAATTGGGGAAGTACAGTTTGCATAGTTTATATGATCAAAGAAAAAAATCATTACCTCCTCAGAACAAAGTAAAAATGTTAATAAACAAATATTGATGATGAAATAATATTCTGATTATGCAAGTATGGTATGAACAATTTTAATACAGGTAGAAAAATCTCTTACTCATGTAATGAAATATCATTGGATTTCATATATCTAATAATAGGATTTTTGTTTTTATGAGCATATATTTATATTTATATTTTTGTTTTAGTAATTATTTTTTCTAATAATAATTTTTCATATTATAAATATAGAGGGCAAGAGAATCTACATAGAGAATAATACACTTGGTAGTTAATATTAGAACATTAACTCAAATTGTTTCTAGTCTAAACTATGTTTCTAATTTTTACTTCTAAAGGAATTTTGGAAGTATATGTTTGTTATTAAATGCTTCCTTGAATATTTTAAAACTGAAGGCATATAAAAAAATTAGAATCAAATGTTTTCTATAGAAAAATGCTACCAAAGCTCAAAGACAATGCATAGGTAGGTGTAACCAATAATGGTCAGACCATACACACTATTGAACTTTCCCTTTGGGTAACCTTCAGACTAACACTGATTACACACACACACACACACACACACACACACACACACACACAGTTTATAAATGGAGATTCGTTTTCCTTATTTTTAGGTAGAGAAAATAACAAGTTTCACATTTTAGAATCAGTGATAGGTACAGCCTCATAGATACAACCTTTTAATGTGAATTCACATAGCAAAATCAAGATAACCCTTCTCTTACTTAAAGTGCAAAAATGTGTTTAATTATGATTAGAAACATAATTCTCACGAATCAAAAGCATTTAAATGCCAGAGTTATGCAAGATCCATAGTACATACACAAATACTAAGTTTAATGTATTTTTAAATATCATTGGTAACTTCCTCCAAGGATGTTACATTTAATTCGGATAATCCTGAGGGTGGTACACAGTAGCTGCTGCTTATCCAGACACCTTGATCTGCCTGTACTTCCATAGGTCCCATAACTAACTAAGATGGTGAACTACCTCTGGGTGCTATGTAACAGACACACAGTATTCATACACATCACTCAAAAATATAAAATATCAAGAAATTTATAAAAGGTTCAAAGAATTAAAAAAAAGCTAAGAAACTGAAGAACCCACATTCTATTTTTGTTTTCTAATTCCATAAAGTACAGACATCCTTTCATTATATCACAGTGCAAAGGCAAAGCAAGAATTCCACAAAGAGCTGCCATTTTCGAAGAACCTTTCTAAGATATTTACACATTTTCTTTATATTTAAAAGGTGACTGAATCAATTAAATCATTCTCCATGATAAATTCAATCAGAGGGTCTGGGTAAAAAGAAATATTTGACAACAACATAATAATTTCTACATGTGTTCATTTCTACTGGTCTAGACGCTTTTTCTTAGACATGATCTTAGGTAGAACCAAACAACATCTATGAAAATGATAAAACTAAATGTGCATTTTAGCTAATTATCACAACATATATATAGCCTGACACTGAAAAAGTACTGTAACAAAAATGTAATACATATACAGAATATACAATGAGGAAACTACAATGAGGAAAATTATTATCTTTAGATTTTTTACTGTTTTTTTCTACAAAAGGTATATTTCTAAAATAAAATCTATTCTTAATAATTATAAAACATATTTCCCAAAGGAAGTTCCTAGTTGGCATTTTTCAGCTTAAGGTAGATAACTATATAATAATGACTCTCTCTTATATATGTAGAAGCTGCTAAGAATAGATTTTTAGAATATTAACTTTATTTAAGAGTGTGATGAAGAGGAAGCAAACAAATCCATAACATATAGAGTAGATTTTATATTGGTCCCCTTTGGTTAAGTATTGCTGAGTCCTTTTTACAAAATGGCTTCCATTGCTAAACTGAAACAGCCAAAGGTTAACTGAAAACCAAATCTCTCTGAAACTAATTTTTTTTAAATATGCAGTCTAATATTTAAGATTCATGCATTTGTCATTAAACAACACCTTGATTTTTTAATGAATCTTCTATTATGAAACCATACATCCATTTTTAAAAATTTGTGAATAATTTCAATATTCAAAAGGTACTATACATTGTTATTTAGGCCACAAATATAAAGAGATATAGTCTGAAAATCTAAGACTTACCTAAAGAAAACTTTGAAGTTATAGCCACATTGAATAATTAAAGATAAATACAAATTATTAGCAATGAGGTAGGCATAAGGCTGTCAAATATGTAATTTATTGGTAAAAGGTGTATTCTCTAAAAATAATTAATTACACCGAACTATTTTCTTTTTGGCCAAGAATGCATTTAGCCTGTTTCTATTGCTTACTGGAAATCCCATGACAGCAATTCCAATTAGTAAAACGTTCCAAGAAAGACACAAAAATAGGGAAAAAAATCCTAAACTAAAGCATTTGAAAAGATCATATTATTCTTAAACTTAGTATTTCAATGAGAACAAATCCAACTAACAACAATATTATGTCCTCCCTGTGGCTTAATTTATACATTGAAATTCTAAAATTTCTCCTTTGTTATGATTGGATGAACCGCACCCTATATGGTAGACACGGCATATGCAAAAATCACAAAGATCTCCTCTAAATTTGGCCTTCACTGGTGGTAGCTTTCCCCCAAAACACCAAAATAATGGAAAGTTAGGTAAACTAATGAATGTTATTGTATCCTTTTATTTGATTTTATTATGTAAACAGATCCCATACTCTCAGATCCCACCTCCATTATGGTGGAAAGACAATGGTAGGCTTTACCATCATGTCTGCAGGAAAACCTAAGAACTTGAAAATATTTTATGGCTGGAAGTTAAAAGAAAAACATATCATTTTTAATTGCTCTCATGAGGTTGATGGCGAAAGTATGATGAATGTTGATTTAACAGGAACGACTTGACTATTCCAGTATCATGACGACCACTACAATGACCATTGTTTAAGCAGACCACCATAAAACAATCAGAAAATATTTTTCCTATAAATGCATATCATGACAAAGAAAAGGCTATACTGAGCATATTCATATTGCACCAGTTATTCCTCAAAAATAAAAGACAATCCAAGGTCAAATGAAAAATAACCAATAACTCCCACTCTTTGCTTTACCGCCACCCGCTCTCCACTAAAATAATTAACATCGTATTCAATTAGCACTATTTTTACATCTACATATTTATAATTGTTTAAACACATAGCATAATAGAAAATTTATTTTGCTGTTTGGAAATTATATTATTTTTAGAAAGAAGGATTAATAGGGGAAGAAGCTTATCTGTGGTGTGGTTAGTATGGTGAGATTTCAATGGGAAAAGAGTATTTAGAATTAGTATATAATATGGTTTTATTAGAAAAGAAAATTATCTTTTTATTGTTGTCAATTGCTCTTAAATGTTCATTTAATAAAATTTCACAGCAATCTCAAGAGGATAGACTAAAGGCCCTTGATTATACATACCCTAAAGAATGTTTTATACCACAAAGACACATACCCAATAAGATTTTTTTTCATCTGAAATTTATAAAGATAATTTTCCATGCTGACAGTGCACATTTCATCCATAAGTTTGAAGAGTCAAATGCTACCACAGCTGGGGGTTATTCTGCCAAATGGCTTCCAACAGGGACTACAGAGATGGAAGCTAGGAGGCATGTGTACGTGCATGCAGGAAAAAGCAACAGACATGATGGGAAATAGCCCTTCTCTGGAATCATTTTTATCAATTACCATCTGAGTGATCTAATCAAATATAGTCTCATGACAAAAAGCAACACTAGGAAGGAAAAGCAATATTAAACAGCTGCTTGATTACCTACAGAGATTAAAACAAAAAGCAAGGAGAGAGGCTGATATATTCTTAGGGATTTTCTAAGGCTGAAGGGAGGGGTAAGGGGCAGATACCTTAAAAAAAATCATGAAAGGAACTGAGACAAGATTATAAAAAAGGGGCCAAGTTATAGCGCGCCATGGGATTTTTAATCTGGCTACCTGTGGTTTCTCTAGTTAAAGCCTTTATTCATCTCCAAAATGGGGAGTGGGGTGTGGGGAGCAAACAAAAAAATCACATTTTATATCAGTTTTACAAATGATCAAACAGCGTGCATCAACAAGAATAAGAAAACACTAAACGCTGATGACTTTTTAAAAAATAGATTCCCGTTTTATCAAATATTATTGATAATTACCTGTGCATCTCTCTTCTTGAACTCTTGAATTTGCTTTTCGTGCTCCATATTGGCAGCGCGAAGCTGTTTCTCCAGGTTTTCAATTTCCCGTTCATGGTCTCGGACTAGGCTATCCTTCTCTGCGTTATGCTGCTGTAATAGGTGCGTCTTCTCCTGTTCATGCTCCAGCTTCAGCTCTACTATCTGATTGGACAATGAGGAGGACAGTTCATCAACAGAACATCCTTGTCGTCATGACAACTCATGTACAGCTTAATTTTTCTTTAATTTGTCTAAGTTGAAAATGTTATTTTTGCGTCATTATTACCTCACCCTTGAAATACCCTCATTCGATGGGGGGGAGGGGGATTTTTATCCAAATCTCCTAATATTCAAGACAGTTGGACATATTCAGGAAATTCTCTTGCAATCTGTTGACACACATGTCTGAACCCTGAAAAAAATTATGTTGAATGCTACGTTATTTCCTCCCCCAGAATTCGGGTATTACTGATCAGCAATGGTTGTAAACGGTTAATACTCAGCATGCACTGCTTTTTGCTTAATACATACATGTAAAAAGCAGCAATTAAATCGGTCAGTTTTCTTTATGATTTTCAAGTGAAAGATCTGAGCTAAATACGCATCTGGATTATTGTATATACAGTTGTCTTTTAAAAAATAAAATGATAAATTTCAAAGCTCTATTATCTCGTTGTCAGCTACGGTAGACCAATATAAACAGATGTTATGTCTTCCAGAAGGGCACCTGCTGTGCTGCAAGCCTGCGCCATGATTTCATAAAAAGCATTCTATTCTCAGGATCCTTTCCCAGTCCACTCCACACTGGAGACTGTGACCTTGGCCAGTCTTAGCCTCTCCCTGCTAGACTGAATGGCAGCCGGAGACCAAGGGCCTGGTTGCCGCAGCTTTGATACTAATCCTCCCAGACTGCACAATGGCACCCTACCTGGCCTGCAAACTATAGCCAGCCAGGCTGTCTTTGAAGCAGGTGATGAATAGGGGGCTGCAGGAAGCCAGCTTCCCCAGTGAACTCCAGGCCACACAGCTGCTAAGAACAGTCACTTGGATTTTTCTTCAGTTTTGGTGGATTTCAGGGGGAAAAACTGCTGTTATCTAAAATATGTTGTGTTATTTTCGGCGTGAGAATCCATCTTCAAAAAAGCTAACAGTAGGAGCCTGCTCCAAATCGATCTTGTTTTGTGCAGTGCATCACCAGACTACCTTATCTTAAAGCTATAGCATTCATTTCTCCTGCCGTGCCAGCTGTACAAAATCTCAGTAGTTAATTTGAAATTCTTATCCCCTAATTGCAAATAAAGAATCAAAATATAAATTAAACTTGATTTAGAACCTAGGTTTCAAAGCATTTCCTTAGTGTGATTTTTCTTAAGAGTTGGAAAATAACCAACAAATTACCAAACCACTGAAAAGTGCACTATGCTACTTTAGAAGAAAAAAAGTATGCTAACTCTTATGTTATGGTCTACTCTTACCAGAAAAAAAGTATAAAACAATATAGAAATATGTATTTTGCATCTAACACAAACGATGTATTCTAGTCACTTTATTTAAAATTTAAAGAATTTCCCTCCATTTTATACAGAAAAAGAACATTAAAATTTCTTCTAATATATAATCTACTAAGTAGTAAAGAGTTCTTTGATTATTATAATAAATATGTATATTTTATCCTATGATCTCAGCCACTACAATGTTAACCTCAACAAAAGAATTTTCAATTTTATTATTATTACAGCATTTTTTTAGGTAGCTCAAATATATGAATTATTGAACTGGGTGATTTTTAGTTTATGGACATCATATTGTTGCTACTACCAAGTTATATATTGTTATACTGTTATACTATAACTTATCATAATAATAAATTTAAAACTTTAGTCAAGATCATTTCACATTCACTGAAAGAAATGAAAGGCAGAAAGTTCTACTGAGATTTTCCAAAGCCTCAAAAAAAAAAAAGAAAAAAAAAAGGAGGGGGAGAATTAACCTGATCTAAAATGCACAGAATGTAAAATAATTTACAAGTTACCAAATGACCTGTAATTACACTAAAGAATTATAGAATTTTCCTCCCCAAAAGACATGTGCCTAGGACTAGATGTAAGATCATTACTAATGATACTGCATCATTTTATTACCTAGTAATAGTGTACTTCTAGCCTGAGTAATTTGAAGGCTTCTCTTTCCTTGCTCTTGTTCACATTTATTTATTCATTCCATATTGGTGAATCCATTGTAAACAAGATGGCTGAGGGTGGTCTGTTTAGTCTAGCACTGGACTAACTTCTGAATGCTGTAGCCCCCTTTTTTTTTTTATCTCAACTGAGGTTTCTTAACTGTCAGGACCTCTGCTAAGGTATCTTCTCTAGATAAATGGCAGAGTTCAGATCATAAGCCTAACTGTTCTGGGCATATCTTTTATTATTATTATATATGAAATTATACATTGTAATAAGAGATTTCATCATGATATTTCCAAACATGCATATAATCTGTCCTATTACTTTCTTCTACGTCCTCTTCCCTTCACATAAATTCTTTCCTTTTCACATCCTTAGTAGTTCCCATTTTACTTTCATGACCATGATTTGTTTTGCTTTGTACTGTTTTCCCAAAACTTCCATCACTGAGAGGAAACATGCAATACTTGATTTTGTGGCATTGGCTTATTTCAATAACTTGATGATCTACAGTTCCATTTAGTTTCCTTCAAGTAACATAATTTTAACTTTTTTAATGGCTGAGTAAAACTCTAATGTGTATCTATAACATATTTAATCTATTTACCTATTCATGTCACCTAGGTTGACTTGATAATTTGGTTATTTTAAATAGTATTATGATAAACTTGAGTATATAGATACCTATACAGTCAGCTGACTTCCATTCTATTGGGTGCACACCAGAAGTGATAAGGCTGATGAAATAGGAGTTCTACTATTTTTTGAGAAACTACCATACTGATTTCCATAGTGCTGGACTAATGAACATCCCCAGCAAAAGTAGTTATTTTTGCCAACATCCTCATCAAAATTTGTTAGGTTTTTTTCCTTGATGGTTAGTCAAATTTTGACTGTTAAAGATGTTAAACATAACATGCATTTGTTATGCATTTGTACTTGAGTTAAAAAGTGTCTGCTTAATTGAGATCCCATTTATTTATTGGATTTTTTGTTATTTTTGTTGGGTTTTTTTGAGTTTTTTAAAAAACACGTTCTAGATCTTATCCCCTATCAGATGAATGAATAGCTGGTAAAGATTTTCTCTCATCCTGAAGTCTTTCCTTTGTTTTGTTGTTTCTTTTGCTTTGTAGAAACTTTTTAGTTTGATACACTCTCATCTTGTCTTATTTCATAAGGTATTGGAATCTTACTCAGAAAGCACTTGGCCTGTCCTTGAAATGTCCTCCCAAGGTTTTCCTGTAGTAGTTTCAAGTAGCTTTATGTCTTACACTAAACTCTTTTGTTTGTTTCAAGTTTGTTATTTACAAGGTGAAAGATAGGGATCTAGTTTTAGTACTTCTACAAGAGGATCTCTGGTTTTCCCAGCAATAGTTGGTAAGCAGGCTTTTTTGCACATATGCTTTGGGAACCTATATACAGAGTAAGATAGAATTATATTCTTGGGCTTATTTTTGGACCAACTGGTCTATGTGCCAGTATGTGTGTGTGCGTGTGTGTGTGTGCATGTGCGTGTGTTGTTTTGGCTATTCAAGGTCTTTAACACTTCTATAGGACATTCAAGATTTTTTTTTCTATTTCTGTGAATAATACCCATGGAACTTAACTGAGGACAGCACTGAGTTTGTGTATTACTTTATAGCCATTTAAACAATATTTATTCTGAGATCTATGAATCCTGGAGATCTTTATATCTCCTGATATTTTACACAATTTCTTTCTTCAATGCTTTAGTTTTAAGGTCTTTAACATCTTTGATTGAGTTTATCCTAGGTAATTTTTTTAGGTCATTGGGAATTGGATCACTCTTTTTAGTTCTTTTTCAACATGTTTTTGGTGTACAGCATGGTAGAATTATAGCAGTGAATACATCCAGTGCTAGGCTTTTTTTTGTTGGGAGTGTTTTTAATTAGCTTTTCAATCTCATTGCTCACTATTGATCTAAATTATTTGTATCTTCTTGATTCAACTGTGGTAGGTGATTTGTTTCTTAAAATATATTCATTTCTCCTATACTTTCTAACATATTGGAGTTTAGGTTTTCCAAAATATTGCATGATTCTCTAGATTTCAGTCACATTTTTCATCTCTTATTTTATTAATTTGTCTTCTCTGTCTTTGGTTAGTTTGGCTAAAGATTTGTCAATCTTTTTTCTTTCAAAGAACCAAATAATTGTTTTTTTTTAATATTTTTATTGTAAAGATACTGTACAGAGGGGTTACAGTTACCTGAGTAAGGAAATGAATACATTTCCTATTGAGCATTGTTACCCCCTCCTTTGTTTTTTCCCTACCATCCCTTCCCTCCTTACCTTCCAAACCCACCCCCCCTCGTAAATAATTATTTTATTGATTTTTTTTATAATTTTCTCATGGTTTCCACTTCATTTATTTTAGCTGTGATCTTTAACATTTCTTCCCTCCTACTAATTGTGCTTGGCTTCTTTTTGCTTTTCTAAGACCCTGAGATATATTGTTAACTTAATTATTTGAGATGTCTTTGATTTTTTAATACCAACAGCTTTAACTTTCTGAGAACTGCTTTCATTATGTTATGTTTTTTCATTTTCAGTTGTTCCTAGGTATTTTTTAATCCCTTGCCCCAACCTCTTATTTCTCCAATTACCTTTTGATTATTCAAATGTGTATTGTATCTTCATGTGTAAGTTTACATCAATTTTTATCTCTATTTTTATTACATTGTGGCCAGGTAAAAATATAAGAAGTCACTTAATTTTCTTGTATTTTTAAAGACTCTCTTTAGGTCCTAAAATATGATCTATTTTGGAGAGAGTTCTATGGGCTGCTGAGAAGATTGTGTATGTTTGCACATACTAGGTAGAATACTCCACAGACATCCGTCATCTTCTTGATCTACATTTAATTGTGCATTTAATTGTGCATTTTCTTTGTTGCTTTTTTCTTTTGTCTGAATCATCTATGTGTTTATATCCAGTAGTATTTGGTGTGTGAAACTTT